TTTTTTTCATTCATGTTCGGTTGCACTATTTTTTTTATTTCCTCTGAATTTCAATTTTCGAGACCAATTACACGAGAAAAAAAATTTCCGGAATAGTTTGAGTCTTTCGCAAAGAATAGAATGAAAATAAAATTGATAAATACTGAGTCAACTCGATTAATGTAAAACAGCAAATGAAAAATTATTCAGAATAACCGTATTTAGATTCCAAGATAATAAATGTCGAGATATAAATTTCGTATTCAAATGATCAAATTAAATTCACCGAAAAACGTGTAAATGAGTTTTTAGAGTTGAAAAGAGTCATTGGATTTTAGTGCTAATCGATTTGCGAGGGGTTTAGAGAGACATTAAAAATAAATAAATAAATAACGAGAGGCAATGGATAATTGAAGCAAAAAATTTTTGGATTCAGGATGGCGCCTGGTCTCGAACCGGTGACATGATCAATCACGACGGTTTTTTTCGTTTTAAAATGTCGTTTTATTTGTCTTTTGACTCTATCAACATTGTTTTGCCAGAAGCGTTTTTATTGAATTCTCGTTATCGAATCGATCGCCGCGGGTGGTGGAAGGCGCCAGGAGGCGTCTCCCACGTCCTGTATCGGATGGAATGCGACGGTAGCCGGTTTTCTGAGACTCTCCCCAACTTTTTTTTTTGTCTTACGTCCACTTTGGCGCGGACGCAAACGTTTTGGAATGGGTATAAATAATTGTAATGAATAAAAGTCAATAATGTTGGGTGAACAAGTCATCAGGGAGTGAGGGAGATCGAGATACCATTGAGAATTCGGTTATTGGGGGGATTTATCGGTGATTGGGGAATTTAAATTGAATCGTTTCCGAAGAATTCGTCAATTGAGAGGTCATCGGTTTTATCGCTCTCGAGGATCCAGAAATCACTGGATCTTTTCATAGATCTCTCGGTTTTCATGGCCTGTACCTCCAATTCGTGGGATTTATTAATTATTTTTTTATTAGCAATCGTTGAGAAATACGAGACACCGGGATTAATTTCAGTGTGAGATTGAGATAATTATAGATTTGCCATTTTTGAAGGGGTTTTTTGGGAAATTCAATTTGCGTGATTGCGTAATTAAAAATATTGCAACAAATAATTGAACATGAATTAAAAAAGAATTTAGAGAGAAATTTATCTCCGAAAATTCATTTGAATTGAGTAATTAGAGTGAATTGAGTGAATTATTTAAATTAAATTTAACCCGGGAATCTTGGGACGAATCGAGAGAAAAATTAGTGTTCCATTTTATTTAAATACTTGATTAAAATAAATCATTCCTTTGGTTGTGGCGAGGGCAAACGTTCGAGTTGTGAGATAGTAAAAGGAATCATAAAGAATGTGAGTTTGTCGAGCAAAAAGGGTGTAAAAATGACGTGATATTGTTGAAGGGCCCTACTTGTATTACGTGCCCCCTAAAAAAAATGCGGTGAGATAAAAGTCCCTATCCACCCGGTGTAAATACGAGATAAGAATGTTCGTAAATACCTCAGTCGGTTTCTCCTCTACCCCCGGGTGGATATTTTTCAGAGATAAAATTGGAGGGATGTCGAGGGTGAGAGGATTATTATCGGGTGAGGGCACAAGTCGATTTAAGCCGGTAGTTCGTAAATCAAACTAACGAGCGGATGCACCTTGCTCGATTCGACTGGAGGGTTGGGCCTTAAAAAAAAGGTTTTAAAAAACTGATGGGAGGGAACAGGAATAAAGAATTGAAGATGAATAAAACAGAGGGAGTCAACAGCATTCGGGACTGGAGACTTCCGGTGGATAATCGATCCGTTCGTTATTTATTCTTTTTTTACGTGTTATTATTTCAACCGATGAGTGAGATTGCGTTAACAAATCGTGGGAATTCCATTAAGGCGCGAGGGAAACCATTGCAAATTACTTGCGACGGTTTTTGCTATATTCTTTTTATTTAGTTATGGAATTATTGACTCTTTGGAAGATATTGATTATTCATTGACATGAAAGTTTTTTTTTGAATTAAAAAAATTCATCACTCTCGCAATAATGGGAATTCCCGGAAGCAGTGAACAGATTTGAGTTGCGTATCGACTATAGATTCGAAATGAACAAGATTGCGCCCTCGTAGAGCGATTTTAAATTTTTTCATTTTCGGGAAATTTTCGGGAAATTTTTCACTTGAGAAATTTTCTAAAAAAATTCACCACTCTCGCAATAATGGGAATTCCCGGAAGCAGTGAACAGATTTGAGTTGCGTAT